TGCCCAACTCGGTTGCCTTAACTCATCGAACAAATCTTATAATCAATTAGCCCATTTACAATATGTGGTACATAGCTATACAAATAAACAAATCTTAATGTGATTAAAAAGAGTTTCGTCGAAAAGCACTGAACCAACAATGTGTACAACTATCTCAAGGGTTATTGCCGTGCCAAATAAGTTGAAGTAATGCGAAGCAGTCATATTGAGACCAACGAACCTGGATCTAATATCCCAGGTACATCCTCAATAAACCAAGTCAATTGGAACCATTCAGGCTTTCCCCTGCTGAAATGGAGGAAACTATTTCCGAGCAACCAAGTTTTCCCCGTTTAGGTGCCGCAATCAACTCTAGTTTTGTAGCCAATAAAGTGCATCAGAGTGGGCGGACTGGCAGTTCCCGCTGACGTGCAACAAAGTTGGGATGTTAGTTCCGGCTGCCCCACCATAAATGTAAGGCAATAACAGCCAGAGAAATTGTGTGGCTGGATCATAAAAAGCCAGCGGGCAACGCAACACAATTTCCTATTCGTATAGGCCACAAAAAAGTGCAAGATGAATTACGTTTTTGCAGTAGAGGGAGGGCACCCGTCTGAGCTCATCTCTTCCACTCTGTCTCAGCTTTTGTGTGTGTGTAGGTAAGCGTATAATGAGCTGCCGCTCTTTTACATTTTAATTTCCGGCCACGCTCAGATAACTGTCCGTTCCGTTCCGTCCGATGGTCCGTCCAATACGAGGCACCGGACAGCAGCACAGATTTGCGGATTTGGTTTTGTCTTCTCTCTGTTCCATATTTTCCATATGTACATGCATATAGACATACATATAGACGTCTCTTTCGTTCTCCGTTGTCGGCCGCAATTATTTAAATGAGATTACAAGGGACTTATGCAGCGGAAATCTCATTCTGAGAGTATGTGCGCTGTTCATTTGAGCCGTGTTCCTGTTCTGCTCGTTCTGCTCGTTCTGTTCCCTGTTCCGTTTTAGCCCGGCTCACATTACGGCTTAGAAGACGTGCGTCAAAAGTTAGCCGGCCAATTGTTTGGCTTTGTCAAAAGAACAATACAGTTTTGCACAACTAATTTGACTCCTAATTGTTTTTTTTGTGTGGATTGGATTATCTTAAGGTGGGTGCAGAGGTTGGGCTCAGGCTTCTAACGAAATAGCCATTCGTTTCTCCGCACGAAGCATCAGCTGTCTATGCAAAATACGCAGTTCATAGTACCAACCAAGTTATTAAGAAAACTCTTTGAGTTGAAATGACTTCTTGTGGAATTAAAAAAATCGATGTTGCTATTGATTTTACTTTAATTGTAATGCTGTCAAATAATAATGTTTCATTCTGCAGAGTTATCGAACCAAAATTAAACCAAAGTTTAAATGGTTGTAATGCACTTCTCCTAAATTTTCCTTTATTTTCCTTATCTTTAAAATTCAAATGAAATCCAAATCCTTGACCAACTCTACTTTGCTATTTGCCTGCCATTATACTCGTAAAGTTCTTTCTCTAAAGACGTTGAAGCCCCGTGTACCTGGACATAGCACGTAGAAAAGCTTTCAGCCATTCGACGACTGCAAAACCACACCTAGAGTGCCCTGACCAACCATACATCCAAACAACGAATACCACAGAATATTTATACATACATATGTATGTTATGTATGTATGTACATATGTACATATGTACAATAAAAAGCAAACAAAGAAAAGCAAACTTCGTGGGCCGAATCGGTTGATACCCTTGCAGATCCTTGCATCGGCTCTAGTTTGAATTATTTCTCTTGTTTTTCAACCGTGATCTGATCTTGGCAAAACAGGCAGAATTACATGGGATATATCGATCTGTCTGCTTATTTTTGTGCATATAATTTATGGGGTCGCCCACGAAGGGGAAAAACAACAGCGATGACAATTTTCCATTCCATTTCCATTCTCAGCTGAAATGTCGAGGGTGGAGGGGTTTGGCGTTGGCCTTCAGCTAGAGTGCAGCCAGTAGGAGTCGGTGGGAGAGCAAGTGGAGCTGGCGAAGCTCAAGCTCAAGGATACCGCAGACAGGAGTGACAGTCGTCGTTGTTGCTGCTGCTGTGGCGTGTCTGTGGCAGGGAGAGCAATCTAGAAAAATTACTGCAATATGAAATAACAGTAACTATTGTGCTAATAGGATTAAAATGTGTGCAGCACAACGACAGCCATAACGGGAGTGAGAGGAAGACTGTCTGCCACTGACAGCCACAAAGGAAGGGCGCGGACGGAGACGGACAGCTCATATAGGTGTCAACAGATGCTGGCCATTTTCCACTGAACAAACTCACGTATATTTTTTTTGCGGTCGACACACGCAAATGAGACTACCCACAGATACTGATACAAGCAGGCTATCCATACGCACAGCAAATGCAATTTGCGTGTCGCATACAAAGTGTTGCAACGGATTAGGTCGTCTCTTCCTGAAGCGGAAATTAACTATGGGACCCGGATGCCGTGGCATCCGGGGGAGTTACAAGTTAACTATTTGAAGGTCCCGCAGAGGTTTTTATAAGCTAATGCAACTGAGGGAATTTTCAGTTCAGTTGGACTCTTGTGGGTGAAAGATCGAACGAAGGTTCTCTTAGCTCTCCTAGATGGCCTAACGCTTTCATAAAAGTTTCCACAAGCTGGAGCTTGAGTCGCAAGTTTGCAATGACTTTGAGGAACTAATTACAATCTGCCGGATGCACAGCACTTTAATCGAAAAAGTTGCGCCAGAGCTGCAACCATTTCTCATGACTGCTGCACACATAAATCTATCTGTCCGTCTCAGCAAGGGAAAACGTTTGAAGTACGAGTACATCAGGGAAGTGCCAGCGTAAAGTCAACCCGAGAGCTTTATCGTGTTAATACATACATATGTAGATACACCTACAGCCAATAGCTTAGCACTCTGTGGGCAAGCTCAAAGGGCGAGGAAATCGAACTGAAGCCAAACGGAAAAAACACAGAAAACGATACAAGTTGAGAGTTGGCAACCGAAGCGCATCTACTCTACTCTACCCTGACAAATTATCGGAAATTATTACTGTTCGAACCATGAAAATCCCATTTACCAATTCCTAGCAATATCAAACAAAGTGGAAAATTTCAATTTGATATTTGGGCACTCGAGCTCGAGTGACGGTGCGGCGCTGATGATGATAGGTTGCAGTTGTTGCCACATGCAACACCTTTCCACATGCTTTCCACAGGGTGCGGCTAGCTCACTCACATTTCCTTTTGTTTGGGGTATTTTTGCAGGGATTTTTTCATCATTTTGGGGTGAAAAATGTGAAAATTGTGGGCTTGGCTGTTTATCGCTTTGAATGCAGTTTACATAGGTGTCAATTAGCAACGGTGCGGTTGGCTGAATCTTAATGGAATTAGCGTTGATGTTTTCGCAATTCTCGTGCTCTCCTCTGCTGTGGGTCGATGGTCCTGGTCCCGGTCCTGGTCCTCTGTTGATGCTCACTTGGCTGTCAGTTGCAGGGATCGAGAGGGGATTAGTGTTTGCACCTCAGAGCCCTGAGAATGATACTCGTACCACAAACATAGTTTATGTTTCAATAGTATAGTCCAAAAAGTTTGTTTAATTTACTAATTTATAATTAACTAATTCTTGGCTTTCTATACTCATGCGATTTGGAAGGGCCACAACTTTACATGCTGCTTCTTGTCCATCAAAGCTTTGAAGTTAAACTTACTTCCCATTCCACTTTTTCCGATTATAGTTTCATATTCTCTGGTTTTCACCAGTGTGCTCAATCAGTACGGTTTTAAATCCACTTTTCAGTACCATCAGCTGAAGCGATGACAGCCAAAGCATCGAAAGTGATGTATTACCCGAGTTACGGCTATGAAATGCTGCGAAATAAATAAAAATCCTTTTACCAGATCTGCGACATACCACACACACACACATTAGGAGCTATCATCCTCCATGAGTGCGTGTGAGTGCGACCGAACACCGTTTTATTATCCAAACTAATTTGAGGGTTGGTCCTGGATTTCGCTTCGTTTCATTTACCGTTCTCCATGTCACCACTCCCTTCTGGAGAGCGAGGGGAGCGGTGCTCTCTCTGGAAGTTTTCTTTCTTCTCTGGGTTGTTGCCATGTTTTGATGTCATTCGCTACACGTGCTTAATTTCATTTAATTTATTTAATACTTGAAAAATACGTTTTTGTTCACTTTTGTATTGTACGAGTAGAACCCCTCCCGTTCCTTGTCCACTGATACTGATACTGATACGTTGCATACTCTCTGTATGTTCGATTAAACGGCGGCACTTGGGCGTGTACAACTGCCAATGAATTCGAATTCCGCCTTTCGACACGCTGCGTAACGGGTAACGGAATGGAATCGGTAGAGAAGAGGAGTGGAGAGGAGAGGAGAGGAAAGTGGATGAGAGGGAATGCAAAGGCAGTAGCGAAAGCGAAATTTGGACCCTAAGACAAATCGCTCGCTTGGGAATTATTTGGGCAAGGGATGCATGCTTTGCTTTGCGAGTGTGCGCGATTTCCAGAACTGTTAGGATTGTTACCATTGCATAGAGAAATACAGTTTCGCATAAGAAAACTTGTATTTTTAATAGGATAATTAGGCAAAATTCGCAAAGAATATAAAGTACGACTGCTCCACCTTTACCATCATCGGGTGTGCGGTAGTTCGTTAGTTTCCATGGTTAGTGATCCTCGTCCTCCCACACTTTGTGGTTCCCCTCTGGTGTCAATCAAGGTTGAGAGGTCGAAACCCGCAGTCTCTCTCTGTCCCGTGTTTGTGTAATGATGTGTGAGTGTATTTCCCTAAGCGGATTTGCAGATGGAAATAAATCCCGCTATTTGTTTCTGAGTGTGAGAGGGGGTTGATGAGTTTTGCCGTTAGAGTGGAGCATTGTCCGAGTGGAGCATTGCAGCAGCTTGCTGGCTGCGACTGGAAAACAGCGAGAACAGTTCCAGTGTGGCCAAGCAACAATACCTTCTCATTTCACAGGACAAATACAGAGCCAAGGACCAAGTTTATATTGAGATAGCCATAGTCCTTGCTAATTAGAAGCGATGAGCGGCCTGGGTCCGGCAGCCTGTTGGCTGGCACACAAACGAATTGAGTCCTGGTCCCGGATGGCCAAGGAGCGTGTGGGTGCGGTTCGACGCGTAACCATCGATCGAAACTCCGGGGACGAGAGCAGCGCCAGTGGGAGCAGTAATAGCACCATACAGACCCTACCCACTGGCGAGGCAGCTCCAACCTCCAGCTCGGGAACCGCGACAACACCGCCGCCACAGCCGATGACACCGCCGCCGTCGGCCTCGTCTGTGACCTCCACCACTAGTGGGATAGGAAGCGTTTCGGCCGGCAGTGGCAGCGATAGCTGTGACTTGACCACGGACTCGGAGGTTCTTATATTATTAGGGGAAATACCGTCAGGAAATTGGCTAATCCTTCGATATCTGTATGCGTGTGTGTATCCCCACAGGAAGTCAACATAGCCAAGGAATCGCAACCCATCCAGCCGCCTAGTCAGATGCATGGCCTGGCCATGGGTGTCAATCATCACATGGGATCAGGATCGTCTTCCGGAACGGACATCTTGCGCGGCCCCGTCGAAGTCTTTCACAGTCCCTTGCACTTGCATCACCAGAGCCGCTCGTTTCCGCCGCGTCTCCAGCGCACGCCGTCCATATCCAGCCAGAGCAGCGTGGATAGTGCCCCGTCCCGGCATTCGGTGAGTGTCCAGTTCCAGTCCCTGCTTTATGTCCCTCCTGACACCTGACGTTTCGTGCTCATCGAAAGTTCAAAACGCAGGGTCATCGCGGTTCATCCCCACAAATACGGACCTTCGGACCGGACGGACGTAGCTCGCTGCCGAGTGAGCCAGCTTTCCCACACCACCTGGCTCGATCCCCCAGTCCGATGCGCACCATCTCGCTGGACGCCCGGTGCGGCAGTCCCGCCCACGCAACCGACCCGGGGGACATGCGCACCCCCAGTCCCTCGCAGAGCAGCCTCGCATCTCTGGCCGGAGCCACTGCTGTTGTGAGTGGCTCGAGTCGTGTTGTGGGCGTGGCCGGGGGTCGCTGCCTCTCGCCGCTGCTGATACCGCCAAGATCGCAGCCCGGCATGGATCCCGCCATGGGCCCAGCGTCTCCGTTGGGGGCACTCCAGCCGGATTTGTATCGATTGCCGGACGGACCCGTCTACCTAACAGCGCCGGAGTCGAGTCACGCGGTGGGTCGGCTTCACCTGCGTGTGAAATACGACTATCATCTGTTTGATCTGACAGTGCATCTGATTGAAGGTTTGTATGGAGCGAATTGCCTTGAACTTTTAAATGAACTTCTCCCCCTACCCGCCCGACCAGCTCACAATCTTAGCCCCATCGAGGAGGGTGGCTTCCGCGATCCCTATGTCCGCCTGATGCTCCAGCCAGAAGTGGACAGCCGGAAGCGACAGACGCACATCCATCGCGGCGAATCGAATCCGTACTTCGACCAGCACTTCAAGTTTCCGGTTTCGCGAGATCAGCTGCAGGGCAAGGAGCTGATCCTCCAGGTGCTCGACTACGATCGCTATTCACATAACGATATCATTGGGGAGGTGCGCCTCTCTGTTGATGGCTTGGATTTGTCCAAGTCAGTGGAGGTGAGTGGCACTCTAATCGGGGGCAGAGTAGAGTGCTTGCTATCAAACGATTACACTCGTATACTCTCTTAGATCTGGGGAGATTTGCTGCGGACTAAAAAGCCCAAAGAGGATCGACCAGAGTTGCTCTGCTCGTTGAACTATTTGCCCCAGGCGGAACGTCTGACGATTGTTATAATGAAGGCACGAAATTTGGACACTGTACAGGAGCCGTATGTGAAGGTGGTTTCTATAACCTATAGTAGAGGAAGGTGACCGCTCTAATCGGCTTCTTTTTTTTTCTACAGATTTATCTGATTCAAAATGGCAAGCGCATCAAGAAGAAGAAGACCAGCATTACCAAGTCGGACGATCCCACCAATCCTATCTGGAACGAGGCGTTCACGTTTAATCTGCAATCAAATTATCTCCACAGTGCGGCCATTGAGGTAACCTTTGACCTTTCGGCGGCAGTGAGGCAGTGAGGCAGTGAACTGAAGAAAGCCTTCTTTTTTCTTGTTTAACGGCCCTACTGCTAATTCGAGCCAATCGCCCCATTTTATGTCGGCCTGTTTTAATTGAAAATTCCTCTCTACCTCTCATCTCCCTCCGCAGATCTATGTGGTTGGGGCTGGTAGCGAGGCAGCGGAAATTGGCTGTTGCGGCCTTGGCCCCCAGGAGAGCGGTACCGGCTGCCAGCACTGGCACGACATGATTAACAATGCCCGCAAGCCCACGGCCATGTGGCACTACATCCGCTAGGCTAGGCATCCGCTGGAATCAAACATTAGCCGTACAATAGTATGCTGGGAGAGAGACCCATTAAATAATTATGATTTTCCAATATGTAATTGCAACAGCATCGTCTGTGTCTGTGGCGGTGAATGTATCTAAATCCGTAACTGTATATCTGTGTCTGTAACTGTAATCGTATCCGTATCCGTACCCGTACCCGTATCCGTGTGCGGCTCTGTGCACGCGTTGAATATTCCAATCAATTTGATCTGAAATATGTAAGCTGCCCAGCTGCACAGTTTGCGGAACACTTATGCTGAGCCACTAAATATTATAAACCTTCATTGGAAAATTAAATTTGAATCTATAATTGTCGGCTATACTCGTTAATAACCTTTAACCAAGCGGGAACATACCCTCCATTAAGCTCAAATCAAAAGTTCCTACACCGGAAAGAAAACTGACAGATTTTCAGTGAAGAAAAGGTAACTCATAAAACGTTTCTGTTGTGCATTTTGTGCAACGGCTATGAGTAAAATCTTTACAAAAAGCACAGAAACAATAAATGAATGAAATGGTAATCGCACATAACACTTACGTACACATGTCAACCAGACTCGTTGACATATCCCAATCGACGTCAACAGTTTGAGGACTTGAGGAGCGGAGCCTTCTTTCTCTTTTTTGCTGAGAGCCATTCAAGTGTGCATTTCTTAAATAATTATGAATACTATACACATTCATACGAGTATACCGCATAAGGAGCGGGCCATACTCTCCGTGTCGTATAGGTGAGTGGTCGTCAATCATGCAGGAAGGAAACCTCCCTCGAATTGGCTCAGACGACAAACCATCCAAAGGAGTAGAGTGGAGTCTCTTTTGTGCTGGCGACAGTTGACAAATTGCCATCCTGCTGTTGTCCTTTTGCAATGCGATCCTAGGTGTACTTGAATGGGTGTGTGCTCTGTGTGTTTGTCGTCAATGATGTCGTCTTACTCCCAGAGTAAGAGAGAGGGCACACAACCTATGCTAATTGTTAACTTAAATATTCCTTCCAACCCAGTGCGAGTATGTCTATCAAAGCACGCCGCCCCAGAAAAGGGTAGTCCAAAGGCATTTCTCCACCACTCCATCCTATTTTATATGTACTTACAACGAGAACTTCAACCACTCCACTCGGTGTGCCATCTAATTTATAAGAGCGCTGGGAGGAGGAACGGACTACTGATTTCAGTCAAATAAAGCTATGCGTGTGTTTTTGGTGTTGTTGGGAATATACATATGTCCTTATTATACTAATGTATATGTAAAATATGCTACATATATTCGTATACATACTAAACACGAAATTAATCAAACTATAAATTATAACCCTAAGTACGAGTATATTCTATACAAAAATTATGAAAATGTAATTATATAAATGTGAATTTAAATTAATCGGTAAATAAATAACTACAGAGAATTTCTCTGGCGTTCATTTAATGGGAATTGAACAATAAAATGTATGATTGCCAAATTGTATTCTAAGAGTATCGGGACTTATACATACATACATATGTACATATACGAGTATTTGTATTATCTGCAATTGCTGCTTGCAGCCACTCGCTCTCTCTACTTCTTTGCTTCTGCTTCCTCATATTGCCCTCAAAACAAACGAGATCCGCTGAAAGATAATTCAAGCGGCAAATCAATTTAAAAATAAATGCGTTCATATTTATGAAATAACGAGAATTCAGCCTTGCTTCAAGAAATATTTATAAAAATAATAATTTTCAGTCCTTTGTAGGGACTACAAGTTCCTTAAGTTGTTTTTTTGTTTGCACTCCCTAAAGTAAAAGAAAACAAGCACGAAAGCCAAACGGAAGTGCAATTTTGTCCACCTACTTTTTCTGCGCCAAACTTTTGCTGTCGCTCCAAGGAGCTAGTGGCGCCAGACAAATCGTAGCAGAGCCATCTATATTTCATAAACATTGAGAACACATCTTTGCAACATTTTATAAATTCTTGGCAACATTTTGAAAATTCTTGGCAGCACTTTGTACACAATCTGGGGTAATACGGAACTGGTGGAATCTGGTCACATCGCAATTGAAAGCCGAAAGACGCGTGATAACATATTAAGACACATTTCAAATTGACCGCCAAACTCAATTTAGCGCACCAAAAATACTGACATTTTTCGCTCTCAATTCGTGGAGAGTTTTCAAAATTTGCTCTCAATTCGTGGAGAATAGATTATTTTTGTGGAGACTTTCCCTTCATTTTCGTGGTGTGGCAGCATGTTGCTGAAATTTTTCCCATACAAAATCAAATGTATCTTACGCGTATGGAATAAAGATTCATTGTTGCGTCAACAATGGGAAATTAAGTAGCAGCATTGTTGTGCAACTTTGGCACGGAATGAGCAACAATCTGCATACCTTGGGAAAATGGATATTATGGACTTGAGATATTGTTTGAATTTTCAGGCTCCAATTAATGCAAAAACTACTCAGTCTCTGTTCTAAAGAGTTTAACAAAGTTTTGCAGCTCACGACTACCAATAACACTAGTCAACCGATTTCCAAGGAACAAAACGAACTTTTTCTAAAGTTGGGGCTTAGAAATGGTTTGATATCTATGGCAGAACTTTTGAAGATTGAGTCTGGTATACCAGAGGTAGCGCTTGTTCACATAACCAGTACACGTCTGGTTGTAAAGAACGCTATGGAAGATAATTAAAACAGCTAGAAGTTAACCCAAACCTTGTGATACAGCTACCGTCTGGGAAATAAAACATTGAAATGCAAAAATGATGATTTGTGGGGTATTTTACGAAATTGACATTAAAAACAGAAAAGTCGAAAAAAAATACTTGTGCCCATTGTGTATAGGTGCGTTAATTGGCGTCGTTAAGGTACGCTCATTAAAATCTATGGAGAGACTTGGAGCTAAAATCGTAACCAAACCTAAAAATGGAAAAAATGAACAAAAATACCTGAGGCGGCGGGCCCAACTGCCAATTCGGAACAAAGACGCGACGGTACCAAATGTACAACCCTGTTCGTTTGTTCATTGCATTCAATGCTTATATTTCCCAGCGGTAACTGTAATCACAAAGTGTTTGGGCTTAACTCTAGCTGTTTAATATCCCAAAATAGCAAAGTCTACAACCAGCGTAAGATACAGAGTTATGTGAAAAAACACGCTACCCTGAAAAAAGCTAAAAAAAAATCCAGCTCAAAAACTCAAAAAAATCCGAAAAAAAACCATAATTCTTAAAAAATTTTAAAGCCCCATATCTATCAGAAAAAGTCGGTTTGGATCCTTGAGGAAAAAAAAAGTTCCATTTTGTCGAGTAGTGTAATAGGTATCAGAACCGGGATAAATGTATATATAACACACAAACATGTGCATTAATATGTAAAAAACATGTCAATCTAGGATAAAATCATAAATAATGTTTCAATGGAGCTTGGAACAAAACATTTAACATTATTTAAAAGAAATATGGTATACAAAAGTACATACGCATAGAAGAAACTTGGTTGACCAGCAACACTGACGTCACATTTAGTCAACATTTACGTTTTATGCTTTGGCCGTTTTTGTTTGAACCTTAATATGTAAACAATGCAATGAAAAAGAGTTCTAAAAACTAACCAATCCTGAACAAAATTAAACTGAATATCAAAATTGACGAATTTCATATCACAAAATATCACGGTATGGCAGCCCGCAGCAACTACGAATTGCACGAGTCTGGCAACGCCACAAAACGACGACAAATTCGTTTTATGCTGTTTTTGATTGAACCTTAATATGTAAATAATCCAATAAAAAGGACTTTTGAAAACTTGCCAATCTCTTAAAAAATTTATGTATCTATCGGATAAAATTATTTGTTTAGGGCTGAGAGTCCCAGCTAGCTGGTAATATTAAACGGAATATCAATATCGAGGAATATCAACGTCGAATGTTTTGAAAAAACAATCGATACTATCGTGATAGTATCGGGCTGAAATATTTATTAAAAAACCATTGAAACCTTTTAGGAACTTGTCCATTGTAAAAATTAGATGCCACCTGTCGATTTTTTTACAACTTTGTCTTCGTATTTTATAGCAGCCAATCCAAACATATCAAAAGCGCAACGACTGTAGCTCGATACTATCATGATAGTCTCAAAACCGTCGATAGTAGAGGCCATCAGTAAAATATCGATACTATCGATAGGGCCCTCGATGGTTTGACACCTCTAATCGCAATTGAAAGCAGAAAGACGCATGATAACATAACGGCCGGTTTGGACTCACTCGAGTCATCAGAATCAGTTAACGGTTGACTCGTGCGGATGCGAGAACGTTGAAGCGGCGCGCAATGTTTTAAATAATATAATTTAAAGATGGATCTTTTCAAATGAGTTTCTCAAAAATAATGACAATCAGGTCAGCCTAGTTACTGTGGATATAAATAGCGCGAAGGCTAAGTGATATCGGTAAACAAAAATTCAGTGAATAAATAATATTTTGTGGTATTACACTTGTGCGTCTCCTTGGCATTGCTTTGGATGATAACATAAGTAGCGACATTTGTGGTGTTCTGCATTCTCATTGTGGATTGTGCTCCAACTGCAATCAAAACGGAATCACATACACTCTCATGCTGGGAGAGACAAAGGCGGCTCTCAACCTCAAGCTGCATATGAGTTAATATTTGTCTAGTTTTTGAACATGCCGCTTTTGTGTTTCACCCGACGACAGAGCGTTGGCGGGGAGAGTGACGGTGCTGGTGCCTAGGTCCTAGTCCACTTTAGAAGACAACGTCTTTGCGGCCTGGCACTGTCAGGGTGGGTGCGGGGAGAGGCTTGAATGAGAGACTCCACATCACATCAAATAGCTCCACTTTCCTTTTGCAGGATAACTGCTCTGTGAGCATCGCCTCCCTTCTTCTCTTATGCATCTGTGTGTGTGTGTGTGTGCGCTCGACTCCTTTGCTCTGTAAAATATGCAATTAGAAAGACATCAAAGCAGAGCTACCGCTCAACGCTGATAGCCGACCGCCCACCACCCTCAGACTACTACTTACAGTTGCGGCCAAAATAATAGCACCTTAAATCACACTATCCTTGCGCAACTCTGGTATTGGGTGGTATTTAAACCAAAATGTGCTGCTTGCTTTGCAAAAAAAAAATATTCCGAATTTCGCCTAAGTTTAAATCTGCACGGTTGGGTCAACATACATATATGTATATGTATATTCTGTGGCTTCAAAATAAAATTTACGGCTAAAATATGTGCTTGAGGTGGCTATTACTTTTTCCGCAGCTGTGCCCTTACTGTCTCTGCCTCAGCCCCTTCCCTTCCTGTCTTAGCTATGCGCTTTGACACAAGCACACAGAAGAGTGTCAGCGAGGCGGGGGTGGGAGGCTTCAAGTATCCCCGACCGAGTCCCATCATTAGTGTGCCCCTCCGTTTGCGGCACTTTGTCAACCGCCGCCACTGCCACTGCTTTTGATATTATTTATTTATATTTTTCACTTTTAATAAAATGTTGTCGCTGCCGCTGAAAGACTTGGCCAAACGGAGGGACTGTCGGACAGACGGACAGCCTGGCGAGGTCAATTGGCTTAATTACTGTGTGACAGCGTGTGGACAAGTGGCAGAGGCGTGCTCAAAATACTTGCACAGACACCAGTAGTCATACGTACTACGATTATATGTGCATACATACATACATACATATGTACATATGTATATTCCATCAGATCTGCAGTTGGAACTCCCAATCAATAGAGTCCCTTGTGGCGGAAAAACATTAACTTTAATTGGTTTTGGTTTTCATTTTTCGTATTTACGAGCATTTGATTCACAATCTCCAGAACTGATACCCACTGTCCAGGGTATGTATGTACATCCGTATGTATGCACAGTGGTGGTTAAAAAACTAAGACATTTTAAATGAGTAAAACGCATATATAGAAAACAAAATTTAAAGTCCTAGTGCTCTCTCCTGTACTGTTCATAGGCATTTCCTTATCGAACGGATGCGATTCCAGTTGGACATGTAGATGGGCCAAGAGAATCACACATTCGTGGACGGACACACTCATTTCCCTTCGACTGATCGACTTATCAGTAGTGCCAGTGCACAAAATGCACTCCACATAATCTCAATAAGAAATACTTGTAAAAAACAACATAAATCAGTGAGCTGAAGAAAAAACGATAAAGATGCGCCCCAGTGGCTGGCAGTTACTGGCGCTGCTCCTCCTGCTGTCTCTCAGTCTCTCTGGCGCCGTGCGCCTGCTGGAGGAGAACCAGAGCATCAAGAAAGATCACCCGCACTCCACAGAGCGCCAGGTGCGGCGACGCAACAAGAGCAACGCCTCCGTTGACCAGCAAAGACTCCTGGTCACGGGAAGCACAAAAAAGAAGGCTCTGGCT